TGCTGGCTGGGAGGTGGGGGGAGGGAGGGAGGGGAGAAAAAAGTGACATGCTTGACAGTTAGCACCGAAAGTCTAGTGAAGTATTTATTTGTTTATTTATGTCCTTTAGATTGAGTTTTTGTTTTTTGCTTGTAAAATATCATAGAAGTGACCGGGGAGAATATAATTTACATTCCTGGAATTCTTATAAGATAGTGAATAATTTGAATGTAAACATGCGATAGTTTGCACTCGACAAAAATTTTAGTAATCATTTTGTACATTATTTTGATTACATGTACAGTACAGCTTTGCCCTTTGGAGAGTGTGTGCATGTAAGTGAGTTTCAATAAATGAATAAAGTTACATATATCGAGCCAAAAATAATAGTTGAAAAACTTTATGTAGACAGAGCTTGGATGGCTAAATTTTAGAATGGCCAATAATTTTAATATAAAAAATGCACAAATATTAAAGAGCACAATTTTCTTGATATTTAGGACATGGAGGCGGTCCATGGAATCCTGGGTGCTGTTGAACGGATGGTCACAGCTGGTGGCCACACTCCACATTCGCCTGAACTGTGTCCCTGCACTCCAAAGGGTTATTGGCTCGAGATATACCAGCAGTCAGTGGGAGCAACTCTCGCCCAAGGAAGCCCTGGACGCCATCAGTGGAGTGGTTCTTCAATCATCAAACCAAGCTGTGAAATGGAACGAGTTTTTCAACAGCAAACAAGGTGAAGAGGAGCCCATGAAAAGGTATTTTCAATGATGCTTTGCAGAGGCAGTGGAGTTTGAATTTAAATGTCCCACCTGTGATAACGACCTCTCTGAGTACATGCTATTACATAAAGTTATGGTGGGCCTGAGTAACCCAGTGTTGAAAAGGGAAATTTTCCAGGGGTACTTGGGTTATAATAGTGTTGAAGTGCTCAGAAACAAGTGTACGTTATTTGAGGCAGCAGTGAGAGATGCTGGTGTATTGTGTCGTACATCTGGCCAGGCAGTGGCGGGAACAGCCACGGTTGGTGATGACGTCGCGCACACTGTGGGAACTGAGGCATGACACATGCCTCCGGTAAGAGCAACTGCCCTGCAAGTGGGGCCACATGTCGCAATTGCTCTAAGGTTGGTCATTTCAAAAGGTGTTGTAGGAGTAAGTCAGTCCTAAGTGCTCCTGTGGATGTGTCAGGTGCTGTCACAGTGGCAACAGCCCAGCTATCCCGCCACCCCAGGTTACAAGTGTTCGTGACCCAGGCTGGGGGCAATTCTCTCGCCACCCCTGTGTTGGCTGTGGCTGACACGGGTGCTATGGTGTGCGTGGCAGGGGCATCCCTGGTCCAGGACATCGGTTTGTGTCCGGGGCAACTTCGGGCCCGTAATGGCCTGAGGGACATGGCGAACAAACAGCTCAAGTGTCTGGGGTCCGCCCCCTGCCGCCTCAGTGTGGGCGAGGGGTCCACCGTCCAGAAGGTCTACTTCATGCAAACAGCCAAGGCCCTCTACCTGTCATTGGAGGCCTGCAAGTGCCTCAACTTGGTGCCTGTCGACTTCCCGCTTCATAGGTGTGCTGTGGCTGCCGTGGGCGATGGATGGGGGCAGCACACTGCCGACGATCTATCTCCGAACCCTTTACCTGAGAGCAGTCATGTCCCTCCTAGGCCAGTTGAGATACCTTTGCCTCCTTTGGAGGAGAATGTGGCCAGGTTGGAGGCATGGCTGCTCACTCACCTTTCATCGACTGCATTCAACACCAGCAGGTCCCCACTGCCGTCATGACTGGTCCCCCTCACCGTATCCACCTGACGCCCGGCACGACCCCCTACGCCTGTCAAACACCTGCTCCCATTCCGAAACACTGGGAAGCGGAGGTGAAGGCCCAGTTGGAGGAGGACGTCAGGAGAGGCGTCATCCAGCCAGTGCCTGCTGGTGAGGCTACTCGAAGTGGTGCGCCAGGATGGTCGTGGTGGCCGAGAAAAATGGTCAGCCCAGGCTCACTGTAGACTTCCAACGTCTCAATGCAAGCTGTCTGAGGGAGATGCACCACACACCTGCACCAATCGACATGGTGTCCGGGGTGCCAGTGCACTTGTTCAAAACCGTCGCCGACGCCTTCTGGGGATTTCATCAGGTGGAGTTAGAGGAGGAGAGTAGACGCCTGACCACATTCACCACGCCGTGGGGCCGTTTTCGATACTGCAGGACGCTATTCAGGATATGCCCTGCAAGTACAAGTGCGTGGATGACACTCTCCTCTATGACTCCAGTGTGAAGGGGGCATTCTGGCACACCTACGATTTTCTGGAGACCTGCGCTCGCACAGGTATCACACTGAAACCAGATCTGAGCAGATCTCCACAGATGGAGGTACCAACCCTGCCAGTCTTGAGATGACAGATTTCCTCAAGTCATGGGGGGTCAAGGTGCGCCTCTCGTCGGCCCACTTCCCCCAGTCCAATGGCAGGGCAGAGGCTGGGGTCAAGGCCGCCAAGAGGCTCCTCAGGGATAACACTGGGCCTGGGGGTAGCCTGGACTGCGATAGGACATCCCAGGCCCTCCTCCAGTACCTGAACACGCCTCTGCGGGCGGGTGAACAAGTCGCCCGCCCAACTTGCCAACGGTCACCAGCTCCGTGACGGCGTTCCCGTTGCCAGACAGCACTATACAGTGAGGTGGACCAGCACTGGCGGCGGGCACTTCGTATGGGGGAGGTGCGCTTGGCCGAAACCCAGGATGGGGTCCTTCTGTCGCGGGGAGGTGTTCATTAGCTGGCTCTCTAGCTGGGCAGGTGCAGAAGCAGCTACCAAGCTCTGGGACAGGACAGGACAGAATAGGACCTAACATTCAGAAACATTATTTAAAGAATATAGTTTGCAATTTTCATTAATTGTATTGTTTTGGGGGGAAAAGAGGGTAAAAAGCCACACAAAAGATATGGAAAGGTCACACTTGAGAACGCATTTCATTATTATTGCTTCATTTTAATGGTAATTAATGATTCGCGGTAAGATGATTCACCTTACACAGCAATATTGGAGGACACATTAACGTCGTTATTCAAGGCTTTACTGTAGATAAAAGTAATAATTGTATTAGGTCATACAAATGCCCGCATATGCCTACAAAACATTAAATATCATACATTTCTCAATTACAAATATTACGTGTTATTGATTGGATGTGATAAATTACAATAGTATTCAATCATTGAAAACAATAATATGTGGAAAGTCAATGTATAACATTTTATATGCCCATATATGCTCAAGCACACCCCAATACTCGTATTTTACATCACTGACTGGTTGACTACACGTGTTGTTGCTTGCCAAATCTTAATAATAACAATTACGTACACTTGGTGACACTGTATACAATAATAATGTACACTCGGTAAAAAACTATACTGTACAGTAAAACCCCACTTTACGCGGTTTCACTTTACGCGTTTCCACGTTTACGCGGTACCCTGCCGAACGCGGAATGCTCACTTTACGCGGTGCATGTACTCTTTTACGCGGAGAGCGGCGTGGGCAGGGAGCGCACAAGGTCGCCCAGTCATCAAAACATTACCGAGTTCTTCACCCGCCACCCACCACAGCCGGCCCAAGTCAGTGATAGTGATAATGATAGTGAGGATATGGACTTATATGGACTTTGAGGGGTTTGACAAAGAGGCCCTGCAAGCCTCTGTGGTGGATAGTGATACAATTGATACAAGTGATACAAGTGAGGGCCAATAATCTGCCCTCTGCCTCTGAACCAACACCCCATCCCCGTGTGCCCAGCCATCTTTTCTACTAATGTAAGTGTTAAAAAACCTAATATTATTGATATTTCTCTTAATTTTATTAATTGTATGTGCATACCATCATAAAATTAAGAAGTTATTTTTACTACAACGTAGGTATTGTGCCTGAAAAAGTGGAGTTTGGGGGTCGGCCCAGTCTCTATTTCAATTAATCCCATATGTTATGTTGTTCACTTTACGTGTTTCTCGCTTTACGCGGGCCGCCATGAGTTCAATTGACCACGTAAAGTGGGGGTTCACTGTATTTACAAGTCTTGTGCGATACAAAATGACACTAAGAACGATGTTTTTTTATAAAAGGCCTACCATAGTAGGTAGGAATTGTCTCACATTTAAGCCTACCAACCCTAGTGAGACAACACAATTGTTTAGTTCCAAATTCATCGGACCCCTCCTGAGATACTTTTTTCCCCGAGTATATAGTCTCGTTCAAGATTCTTCAAACACTGCTGGAAACAGCTGGCAACTCAAGGTCGTTTCTTTACTACAGTACGTAGTAAAAATTATGAATAAATGTAAATGTGATCGGTGATTGGTTATTTAGTTCCCCGTTCCTTAATTTAATGGTAGGGCTTTGTTGTTCCGCATTATATTATACTACGTACTATAGTAAACAAACGGCCTTGAGCTGCCAGCTGTCTCCAGCAGTGTTCGAAGAATCTTGAACGAGACTGTACATAATAAGTGTTGCTGTGATCACTACAATACACTGTTATGTGTTGTCGGCTAAAAATAGATCATACAGTGTCGCTGACAGTATATACAACACAAAGAAGATATAGGATGTGGAAACAGCGCAATGAATTGTATTAAGGATTGACTGTCAGTGTGAGCTGTTCCTATGGTGTTGGACCAAGGTCATGCAAAAGGCTCCTTCATTTTGATTGCCAGAGCTCAGCAAGTAGAATTTGTATGTTTTGCATAAGTTTTTGACCATTCTGAATTGATTTCTGCAAGATTTGTTTTGGCCGGTGCTGGCGTGTCATTTAATAATAATATCTTGCGGCAAATTTACGGGTAAAAACACGTTTGTACCTACAGTACTTTAGACCAACCACTGAAAAATAAAATTAATGTGCCCTATAATGGTGAGGAGGAACACACCAAATATTAGTGATCATTTAATAATTTAAACATACAATAGGAACTTTTGTCTATACTGTATTTAAATTCTAAAAAAGTGAAATACAACATAATTAAATAATAACTCAGAACATATGCTTACCGTGATCTGTAGCAAAGCAATCAATCACATCTAAATTATCCCAGAGGGCCTTCTGGTCTTCTTTTGAGACAAGCTTCGGTCGTACCTCTCCCTTTGACCCTAAGTACTCAAGATCATCCGACGTCAGGAAGAGATGATGAGGACACACCTCACATGTCACTGCCATTCCCTGATACCATTGAAAACATGATATAATTTATATAGGGCAAGACTACATAATGTAACTTAGATTACAAGCTCCATGGGAGTAACACCAATGCTGTATAGTATCAATAGTTAATGCCACCTAATGATGAAGATACACTAATAGGACTTTTTTTTTTAAGGTGGGAGAGGGGTTGAAGTAACAACCATCTTAAGTATAACAAGGCAAATGCCAAGGAGTTTAGGACATTTTTAGCTTTCTTAGAGCAAGCTTGTTCCATGAATGCTGACTATCTTAGTCCATGCATACAGGGTGAGGAGGGTCACCTGGAGATCTCAATGGATACTGGCCTTTATGCTGCTTGCTGACATCATGACAAAGGTGTCTGATGGTTGGTCATGACCTAGCCTGAGACCTCAAGGTGGCTGAAGCAGAAGATCTCCAGGAATTATATTGGTACAAATTGGTGGATATCTATCTGTCAGTCTATCTATCTACATCTAGTTCTTGGTTTCACAAGCTCATTAATAACAAAATAAAAAAACCTGTCAGTTCAAGAGGAAGTTTGTAACCCCAGTAACCCCTGCTATATCCATACCAATCTAATGTTATGCATAATCTTTCCTGACATTGTACAACAAACCTCTAAATTACCTTGTCCTTAGCAGAACGTATGAGAAGAATTTCTTCCCTGAGTGCAACATGACAAACATGAACAGGGCAAGCAGCAAGGTGTGCCATCATCAGGGCAGCAGCTGTGGTCCGACCCTCAGCATGAACACAAACTGGCACATTTGATGGCCATGATTCAAAATGCTGAAGGAAAATAACTGATATTAAGAAAAAGAAATATTATATTACAGTACAAAAAATGTAAACATTTCAAAGAATGATATGGGAATACAGGTACAGTACTGTACACTCTAATTCTAAAGTCGTGGTCAGCCACACAGAACTTACAACAGTCACCTCCAGCAATGAGGAAAATCATAAATTTAAACTATACAGTGGCCCCTCGGTTAACGAGCGCCTCGGATAACGAGATTTCGGTTAACAAGCTACCTTCCATAAGATTCTTAACTTCAGTTAATGAGCAATTCCTCGATTAACGAGTTTCTTACGAGCTGACCTGAACATGTTTTCGCTTGCATTTGGCGGTCCACCAGCTGTAGTATTAGTCCGCCAATACAGTAATCGGTTCTAGGGATTAAATTCTTTACCATTTTAACAAATAACAGGAAGTTTATACTATTCAATAATTTTACAAGTTTAATATTAAATTTTTTAGTAATTTTAACAATTATTGAACATAATTGAAGGTAATGAAACTAGTTTTATGCGTGCCATCCAGCCTCTCAACACACCATACAAGCGTCAGTCTTTGTGTCTTTTTAGTGGAGGTAACATCTTGCTTGAGACTCTCTTCAACTAAATGCTTTTTTCTGTGTTTCCAAGCAAATTATTGGTCATTTTGAAATTTATTTTACATATTGACAATATAAAATGCAGTGCAGTGTTGATTTAAAGAAAATAAACTTGAATTACACCAAGAGAACTAGAATTTTATGGGTGAAATGGCGCCATGGGGTGACTACTCTTCCACCCCAATGCCTTCTCTTCTCCCTTCTCCTCCACCCCCATTCTAATTCCCATCATCATCATCATCCAGGAGCCTTCTACATACACACCTCAAAGTAAGTGTACTTTTCTACCTTTTTTGTTGAATTTAGGCAATTTTCGGTGAGCTGGAACCAATTACCCAAAAACCCATTGAAACAATGGTTTCGGTTAACGAGTTTTTCGGTTAACGAGCAACCTTCTAGAACGGATTATGCTCGTTAACCGAGGGACTACTGTATAATGATATAAATAAATTAAGTTTAATAAATTTTGAATATCCAAATTAAAATAAAATAAAATAAAATATTACTTTCAAAATCACATGTGGAAAAGTACCCATATTGCAGTTAAAAAATTTCTTCATTCTCAAAAGTCATTAGTGTATGTGGCATGCAGCTGTCCACATCTTTAGTCCCACAGTGTATACATCCTAAAAAAAAAAAAATAGTTCATATAAATGGTAATTACAGTATATTAATGGAAGCCCCAACATCACCATTGTTTTAAAGCCATTTTCCACACTTTAACCCTTTGAATATTATGTTTACATGTGTCCCCCAGGAGAAAGTAATATGTTTGATCCCAATAATCCATTTTATAACATGCCAGTGTGGAACATCCCATGAATATCTGCACACAAACTTTTTTATGTTCTTCCAGTAGACGTTTTAGGCCGTGACACTCCAAAGATCATTCACTCTCCCATAACATCCATCACTCAGAATGAGGGACTACTGGTTATGGCTTACCATAAGATATGCAATTTTATCAGTCATAAAACCAAGTAATTCCATCTACTGCACTAATTGCACCTCATGTCAGAAATTTTTTTTAAGTGATTTACGATTGACTAATTTATAAGTGAAGTGACTGTGATCCCATACAAATACACAAAGTAAAAACCCGAGGTTCTACTATACCGCAGTTCTAAATAATTTCACCACTGCCACACTATCAAATCCTCTGAAGATTAAATATGCTTTCAAAATACAGTACAGTAGAACGTTGATTTAAAGCAATTCAATTTAATATTTTTTATTTAAAGCGGCACCCACAATTAAGGACAATGTTTTAATTTATCTTTCCTATTTTGTGTGAGTCAATCTGGTGCATCATATTTTAAAATTCATGCCTAATGTTTCTATGGGCATGCTACACTGTCCTAAGGGCAAAGTTGTACTGTACAAGTACTCAAAATAATTTACTAAATGATAACTAGAATTTTTGTATAGTGCAAACTATAGCATGATTATATTAAAATTTAATCACTATCATATAAGAATTCCAGCAATGTAAATTGTATTCTCCCCAGTCACTTCTGTGACATTTTATAAACAAAAAACAAAAAACAAAAACTCAATCTAAAGGACATAAATAAACAAATAAATACCGTATATACCCGTGTATAGCACGAGTTCTTAAGACCAAATTTTTTGGCAAAAAGTTGGGGGTCGACCTCTATACGGGTAATAGTTTCGTTAGGTTGAAAAATATTTACCAGTAACTACCAGTAAACAATGGAAACGACGCACCAACTCACCACCCACTGTGAGTGTCGGTACAGTTGCCAGGGCAGATCTCTTGCGTCATCATAGCAAGCCAAAAGTAGCCAAATGCATGGTATGGTATGGTATGGTATGGTATGGTATGGTATGGTATGGTATGCACAGGAGTATGTAAAACATAAAGTATTCATTTTTAAAAGTTTATTTATGGATACATAAATTTTTTTTAATTAAATTTGAAACATCAATCTTTGTTAATTAAATTTGAAACAAAAGAAAAATACAATACCTTATTTATAAATATTTTCATTAAAATATTACATCACAAGTATATTTTACCTTAACTGTGCCTGAATGAATATATTCTCAGAAATAAATATGGAAATATAATATTTTTGCTGAAATGACGTACGTATTACAGTGGAAAGTGGGATAAAATTGTGACGAAAACAATGACTTTCACTTTCTTTCGTCGTTCAAAAGATTTTGCCGAAATCGCTTTTCGAATGGTTTTCAGTTAAAAACTGTTGTATTACAATAATATTCTATCCTAATTGACTTGAATAAATACTACGATACCATATTTCTGAATATTTTCATTAAAATCCATCAAAATCATTTTCCTTGTCATCATCTGCAGCACCAAACAGCTCCTCCCAGTCCTCTCCTTGAACAGCATCGTCATATGGATCACACCATCATCAGCCATAGGATCATCAATATCTTCATCCTCATTCACGCTCTCATTAGCCTCATAATCCCACAACAAGTCGTCTTCTGTTCCATCAAGAGCATTCGAAATCCCACATTTCTTAAAAGATTTCACCACAATTTCTGGTCTGATTGCATCCCAGGCCTCTACAATCCATTCACATAATGTTGCTAGTGATGGAGCTTGGATGTTGCCTCCCTTTGTGTATGTCTTATCGCCTTCTATCATCCAGTTGTTCCACTTCACTCTTACCGCATCTTTAAATGGTTTGTTTATGGAAACATCCAGTGGTTGGACAAGACTTGTTAATCCACCAGGAATCACAGCTGTATCAGTGTTTTCCTTCCTAATCCCAGCAGTAACACTGTCAACAAGATGTGACCGAAACATATCCCACACAAGAAGACTTTTTTCTTTGCGCAGTCCCCCTGGTCTAAAGTTCAGACTTTTTTAAGCCATATTTGTATGCCGCCTTCATCCATCCATCCTTTCTCGTGCACATGGATGATTAAAAAAATGCTGTCTGACTTGCAACACTGTTGGTAGGGTCAGGTGGTTCTAACGGCACCTGCCAGGACCCGGTAATCAAATTTATAACAGTGTCTAACCTCAATTACTGTAGTTTATCTGATGTAGGCAATATGAAGTAAAAAATACCAGTTAAAGTGAGAAATTGGAAGAGAATAATTAAGAAAGATGTCGTTGGGCTATTTTTGGTAGGGCTGAGGGAGAGAGTACCAGCTGTTTGGTCTTTTTTGGCGGGAGAGTCACGCAAATAACCGTAGTACTGGTATTTGTTTGGTGTCTTCTGTATTTTTAAAAATGAATACTTGTAAATTAAAAGTACCGTAACATTGTATTATATACAAACTTGTCATATTTCTGGAAAATAAGAAGCAAGAAAATAGAATATACCGGTAAACACAATTTCAACGTACGCTAAAATTAAAAGCTGCTTAAGAAGGGCCGAAGCAAACACAAAGCCTCCTCGACCAGGGCTCTGCCGTATCAGCTAGACGGTACACGTGTTTTTCGAATCGTTTTCAGTTAAAAAACTGTTACATCACAAGTGAATTAGGATAGAATATTATTGTAATACAACAGTTTTTAACTGAAAACCATTCGAAAGGCGATTACGGTAACATCTTTTCAACGAAAGAAAGCGAAAGTCATTGTTTTTTCGCGTTTTTCATGCCAAACCCAAAAGTATCCACAAACCTTCTAATGCAATGATGTAAAAAACTCAAACATATTCGGAATTAGCGTGGCCGATAGACAAATAATCCAACCCAAGCAATTAGATTTTGAAAACTTTTGCAAAACTGTCACTCCCTATTGGGTAGTGGACCCCTGCATATACTAGTGTCATTGTTTACGTATATGTTGAATAATCTACAATGAGTGCCATGTAATGTACCACCAGTAATGTTGTGAGTAAGAGTAAAGAAGAAGGTACTGAGTTTGCACTAAGCCCAGGAGGTGAGCCTGGTAATTATATGATTATTACAATATCTTTCCCCCATTGATTGCATATTAATAAACTTGTTTTTAAGAGTACTTTAGGTGTATTCATTTCTCCCACAGTATTTTACCTTTATTTCCATCCAAGTGACTTGATACCAAAATTACCATACTCACGTGCCTAGACCCTCGACCATGATACCAAAAGAATGACCATGCTACCAAAAGAATGACCATGCTACCAAAAGAATGTCCAGGCTACCAAAAGAATGACCATGCTACCAAAAGAATGTCCATGCTACCAAAGAATAGGTGACAGAACTGAGTAAGAGTAAGAACTAAGAGAAGTAAGTAAGATGAGGGAGGTGTAGAAAAAGAGAGGAAACCGGCCCCCTCACACCCCCCCCCACCTTCCCATCAGCTGCTCCCATTTCACGTCCCATAATTTTAGCTGTGTTGATTTATGAGCGTTTGTTTTAACATAATACTACAAAGAAACAATGTTTTGTTAATTCTAGGAGATGGGTTGAGGGGCATCTTGGTAGACTCTCAGTCTTTTTAGTATTTTGTGTTTCTCTCAAGTACCAAACTAAATTATTCCATTAAAACAACACTTCAATTTAGTGCAAATTTGGTTTAAAGCGACCTCTCTTGGAACATATCGTGTAATATCGACATTCTACTGTATAATTTGTTTATCACTGTGCCCATCACTGTTTTCAAATTAGACAACAAGACATGCATTTTTCTCATATGTATTTTGATCGTACACCTGGCAAAGGAAGCGAGTGAGTGACCACTAGTAACTCTCTTCGCTCCCTGCCATATTTCACTTGATTTACTGTTATTATTATTATTTACTGATATAATAATGCTTAATAGTGATTAATCATGGCATTGTAGCCAGGATAGACTTGTCACTATAGCCACCAGGCTACTGGGGCAAGCTGTGAGGTGTTTTGGTTGTTTTTCAACTTGTATTTTTGGGTAGATTTACGTAAATTTCTTCATTTATTTTTACTCGGCTACATGCACACACCATCCTACATACATAGTGGAAAAATGTAAAAGAAATAATTGTCCTATGGGCAAAAATGTATCGGGAGGAGAGCACAGAGTGTAGAGGGCGGGGAGTGTTAGTAGGGAATCGGAGTCCCAGCTGGTCTTCGTTACTATGGTGAAGCAGGGAGTGTATACAAATGGCAACCGTGTTAAACTTTCATTTGGCGTTTATTTACTGATTTGGCAGGAGTACAGATTTTTTTGTTGGAACTTATTTATTGATATTATTTTTATTTATTACCCACATTTCCTGGTACACCCACCTCTTGTTTTACGCGGGGGTTATGTTCTTGAAAAACAACACTTAATTAAAACATGCGTAAATTAAAAAATGTTCCCATAAGAATGCATGGAAATGGTACAGGTTAGGGCAGGGGTGGGCAAAGTGCGGCCCGCGGGCCACATTTGGCCCGCCAAATTATTTCTGTGGCCCGCCACTGCATTTGGCAATCAGAAAAAAAAATTCTTATTAATTACAGAAAGGACAATTTTGGAAGTTGGGTGGACATAGCAGCAATACTGGCTCGTCGCTGTTAACCTGTGGCCCGCGAAGTGTGCCACCATTCATGAAGTGGCCCTCCATCAAAAATAATTGCCCACCCCTGGGTTAGGGGAACCATCATATACCGCACAGTGCTCTTACTTAAACCAATCGTGTAACCAACCTCTGACACACGCTCTCCTCTCTGAAGGTGGGTGATTACAATTAATTTCATGTCCGTTACGATTGTTTTTCATGCCTTTTTAGCTTTAGGCACCTCAGAGGAGGCAGATGGACGTTTTCCAGACATGGTCAATGGGGAAAACAGGGTTTAACACTAAAAAGGTACGTGATAACCACACAATGCAAATGAGAGCACAGGGAAAAAGTAGTGCTGGTGTGAACTGAGAAAGTGATACACGGGAAGCATGCTGGACGTCATCACAGTTGTTGTACAGAATACTTCATTATCATCATTATCTTCATTATTAGTAGTAATAATCTTTATTATTACATTATTTTAATAATTATTATTATTAATAATTATATTAAAATCCTTCATGTTTATATGACTGTGATTTTATAGTAATAACTTACAAGCACCTCACCAGGCATCACAGGCGATCAGGCGAATACACGCGGCAAAATTAAACTGTCTTGACCGCGTTATTTCAAAAACAGGTGCATGTAAATTAGTCTTTGGTATTAATTGAACAATTGCTTTATTCGAAAAATGCTTAAATCAAAGGCGAGTTACCTGTACAGTAAGTTTTTTATTTAATGAACTAATTTGAGCTACCCCTTTCCGTCAAATAGAAACTTCCTAAATCAATTTAATTTAATTTCAATTGTTTATTCCTTGATAGAGGAAGCGGGATCCTAGTGCTGTCACTAGGTACCCCTGCACAATAACACCAGAAGCATCTGGCAAGTGTCACAAGTATATACAGTGGTCCCTCGGTTAACGAACACAATTCGTTCCAGAAGGTCGTTCGTTAACTGAAACCATTATTTCAATGGAGTTTTGGGTAATTGGTTCCAGCTCACCGAAAACTATATACAAAGTTAAAAAAAAATGCAGAAAAGTACACTTACTTTGAGGTGTGTACTGTATGTAGAAGGCTCCTGGTTGATGATGATGATGATGATGATGATGATGATGATGGGAATTAGAAGTGGGGGTGGAGGAGAAAGGAGAAGAGAAGGAAGTGTGCATGAAATAGAAATCACCCCGTGCCTGATGCCGCCATTTCACCCATAAAATTTTAAGTTCACTAGGTGTAATTCAAGATTATTTTCTTTAAATCAACACTGCACTGCACTATATATTGTCAATATGTTAAATAAATTTCAGAATGACCAATAATTGTACAGTGATCCCTCGGTTAACGAGCGCCTCTTAACGAAATTTCGGTTAACGAATTACCTTCCATAAGATTCTTCACTTCGGTTAACGAAAAAATTTCGGTTAACAAATTCCTTACGAATTTTTTCCAACATGTTTTCGCCTGCATTTGCCTGCTCACCAGCTGTAATATTTGTCCGCCAATACAGTATAATCGGTTTTAGGGCTTAAATTCCTTACCATTTTAGTAAATATCAAGAAGGTTGTACTATTCAATAATTGTAAAAGTTTTATATTAAATTTTTTAGTCATTTTAACAATTATTGAACATAATTGAAGTACAGGAAACTAGTTTTTTGCACGCTAAACAGCCACTCAACACACCAAGCTTGGCGTCAGTTTGTTTACCGGTTCAGAGGAAGGAACATCTTGTTTGAGACTCTTCAACATGAACGCTTTTTTCTGTGTTTCCAATCAAATTATTGGTCGTTTTGAAATATATTTTACATATTGATACTATATAGCGCAGTGCAGTGTTGATTTAAAGAAAATAATCTTGAATTACACCAAGTGAACTAAAATTTTATGGGTGAAATGGCGGCATGGGGTGACTTCTCTTTTATCCCTATGCCTTCTCTTCTCCCTTCTCCTCCACCCCCATTCTAATTCTCATCATCATCATCATCAACCAGGAGCCTTCTACATGCACACCTCAAAGTAAGTGTACTTTACTGCATTTATTTTTAGCTTGCATGTAATTTTCGTTGAGCTGGAACCAATTACCCAAAAACCCATGGAAACAATGGTTTTGGTTAACGAATTTTTCGGTTAACGAGCAACTTTCTGGAACGAATTGTGCTCATTAACCGAGGGACCACTGTACTGTAAAAAGGAAAAAAATACTCTGTGTTCAAGAGACCCACAAGCAAGATGTTTCCTCCACTGAACAGAGACACCAACTGAGGCCTTGGTGGGTGAGTGAAGTGGCTGATTGGCGCACCATAAACTAGTTCCTTGTACTGCAGTTATGTTAAATAAGTGTTAAAATGACTAAAAAATTTAATATAAAACTTGGAAAATTATTGAATAGTACAACCTTCTTGATATTTACTCCAAATTTAACGAATGTAAGCCCTAGAACCGATTTCTGTATTGGCGGACTAATCTTCCAGCTGGTGAGCAAGCCAGAGCATGTCGAAACATTTTCGTAAGAATTTCGTTAACCGAATTTTTGTTCGTTAACCGAATTGAACATTCTTATGGAAGGTAATTCGTTAACCGAAATTTCATTAACCGAGGCGTTCGTTAAACGAGGGACCACTGTACCACTGTGGGTGATTAGAGAGAGAGTGGAAAGGAGTGGTAACATGCACCAGTGTTGCAGAGCGATAAGCACAACTTATCTTTTAATTCGCCTCCATGCAGTCACACAACAAGACCCTCACTGGATGCTTATTGTCTTAAATCCCATGTGTGTGTGTGTGTGTGTGTGTGTGTGTGTGTGTGTGTTTTGAGCTTGCCAAGCACATTGTAGGATTTGAAGAAGCTAATGAGTTTGTTCAGGAGTCAGGTGGTCAGACACTTACACAGCACACACACATTAGAAGCAATACTAAACCATTGTCTTATAACATTTTACATTATAATTTTTATTTTACAATTAATTGATACATGATGCCTCGACAAGGCTACTTTTGCACTTAGACAACTGATCCATGAATAAACCACGGCATATGGAGTCTCATTATACATAAGTTATGTCATGAAGCTTTGAAACTACAACCACATAAATTATCACAACCTGTACTCAAATGTACTAAGTTAATTACTAAAGTTATGTATGGTGCAAAATAATGGATGTTTTTACTAAAATTAATCGCTATCTTACAAAAATTTCAGCAATGCAAGTTATATTCTCCTAAGTCAATTCGGTGCTTTTTATAAGCCAAAAAAATAAAACCTTTCATAATCCTTGAGTAAGCCTTAATCTCCCCCTCCTCCAAGCCAGACGACAGAGAAAGGTCTATGGGCAATAAAAATTGACCGCAACCCCCCCCAAACGGCTAACTCCCATGTGTGTGTGTGGTTGTGGAGGTGTGTGTGTGTGTGGAGTTGTGTGTGTGGAGTTGTGTGTGTGTGGTTGTGTAGGTGTGTGTGGTTGTGGAGGAGTGTGTGTGTGTGGAGGTGTGTGTGTGGGTTGTGGAGGTGTGTGTGTGTGGTTGTGAGTGTGTGTGTGTGTGGTGGTGTGTGTGTGTGTGTGTGGTTGGGAGGTGTGTGTGTGTTGTGTGTGGTGGAGTGTGTGTGTGTGTGTGGGGAGTGTGTGTGTGTGGTGGAGGTGTGTGTGTGTGTGGTGGAGGTGTGTGTGTGTGGGGAGGTGTGTGTGTGTGTGGTGGGAGGTGTGTGTGTGTGGTTGGGAGGTGTGTGTGGTGTGTGTGTGTGTGTGTGTGGGTGTGTGGTTGTGGAGGGGTGAGTGTGTGTGTGTGTGTGTGTGTGGAGTGTGTGTGTGTGGTTGTGGAGGTGTGTGTGTGTGTGTGGTTGTGGGTGTGTGTGTGTGGTTGTGGAGGTGTGTGGTGGAGGTGTGTGGTAGGAGGTGTGTGTGGAGGTGTGTGTGGTTGTGAGGTGTGTGTGGTTGTGAGGTGTGTGGTTGTGGAGGTGTGTGTGTGTGTGGTTGTGATGTGTGTGGTTGTGGAGGTGTGTGGTGGGAGGTGTGTGTGGTTGTGAGTGTGTGGGGGTGTGTGGTTGTGGAGGTGTGTGGTTGTGGAGGTGTGTGTGGGGAGGTGTGTGGTAGGTGTGTGGTTGTGAGGTGTGGATGTGGGAGGTGTGTGGATGTAGGTGTGTGGATGTGGGATGTGTGGTGAGGTGTGTGGTTGTGGAGGTGTGTGTGTGGGAGGTGTGTGTGTGGGTGAGGTGTGGGGAGGTGTGTGGTTGTGGAGGTGTGTGGTTGTGGGAGGTGTGGTTGTGGAGGTGTGGTTGTGGGAGGTGTGTGGTGGAGGTGTGTGGTTGTGGAGTGTGTGTGGTTGTGGAGTGTGTGGTTGTGGGGAGGTGTGTATGTGTGTGGTTGTGGGAGGTGTGTGTGTGTGGTTGTGGTTGTGGAGGTGTGGTTGTGGAGGTGTGTGTGTGGGAGTGTGTGGTTGTGGAGGTGTGTGGTGGAGGTGTGTGTGGTTGTGGAGGTGTGGTTGAGTGTGTGTGTGGTAGGAGTGTGTGTGGTTGTGGGAGGTGTGTGTGGTGGAGTGTGTGTGTGTGGTTGTGGAGGTGTGTGGTGGAGGTGTGTGTGTGGAGGTGTGGTTGTGGAGGTGTGGTTGTGGGAGGTGTGTGTGGTGGAGGTGTGTGTGTGGGGAGGTGTGTGGATGTGGAGGTGTGTGGTTGTGGGAGGTGTGTGGTGGAGGTGTGTGTGGAGGTGTGTGTGGTTGTGAGGTGTGTGTGTGGTGGAGGTGTGTGTGGTGGAGGTGTGTGTGTGGTTGTGGAGTGTGTGGTTGGAGGTGTGTGTGGTTGTGGTGTGTGGTTGTGGAGGTGTGTGGTTGTGAGGTGTGTGTGGTTGTGGAGGTGTGTGGTTTGTGGTGTGGTTGGGGGTGTGTGGTTGTGGAGGTGTGTGGTTGTGGGTGTGTGGTTGTGGGTGTGTGGTTGTGGAGGTGTGTGTGTGTGTGGTTTGTGGAGGTGTGTGTGTGTGTGTGGTTGTGGAGGGGTGTGTGTGTGTGGTTGTGGAGGTGTGTGTGTGTGGTTGTGGGGTGTGTGTGGTTGTGGAGGTGTGTGTGGTTGTGAGTGTGTGGTTGTGGGGTGTGTGGTTGTGGAGGGTGTGTGTGTGTTGTGGGTTGTGTGGTGTGTGGTTGTGGGGGTGTGTGTGTGTGGTTGTGGAGGTGTGTGTGTGTGGTTGTGGGAGGTGTGTGTGTGTGTGTGTGGGTGTGGGAGGTTGTGTGGTGTGTGGTTGTGGAGGTGTGTGTGTGTGTGTGTGTGGTTGTGGGTGTGTG